GTTTAGTGAAAAAATATAATGTTGATATAATACTAAAGTTGGCTTATATTTTACTTTGCTTGCAGTAAACATATGGCTATGAAAGTAGTCAGAATTCTATCAAATATGGTCTACTTTCGGGACCTAATTCACAATTGCATTTCATCCACATTGTTAGGGGATCATTAGATGACCCTTCGAGACACCCCATTCGATAAATATCTTGATGTTCCTGATGTTCCAATCCAACCACTTCTAGTTGATTGCTTGTTGGAAGTATTTGATGTTGAAAAAAGTAGTTTTAAAATTAGAAGAAAATGGACCTACTTTAGTATTGAAGATGTCGGGTGGATTACGTGTCTTCCGGTAGGAGGATCTATAACAGATACGAGGTTCCGTAGAAGTGATCGTGAGATAATCTACAAACTCATGCTTTCGTTTAGGACAAAGGCAGAATTTGAGGACATGGGAAACGTAGGACTAGAAGAGGAAAGAAAAAAAAATTGATAAGGGAAAGAAGAAGGTTGTGTGTGCTAGACGAGATGGGATGAGTGAACTTATTGAGGAGACGGCCGAGCGTAGAGATCCTATTTTGCCACATATGTTTGTGGCTTTGATTATAGGCTATCAAAGTAATTGGGGTTGCCCTTTGTTTGTATTTAGTTATGCTGAGAAATTGGACACTCTTAAGGAGTATAATTGGGCTAAAGTAGTATATAATGTCATGTATACTGAGATGAATAAAGCTAAGAAGACCATCACTAAGAGGTCCAAGGGAAATCGAACTACAAGTGGTTATATGGGCGGTTTTGCCTCGGTTTTGGTGGTAAGTTAACCTTCTTATATGTTGATGTCATGTTCCCTTTTATATATTTATGTCATTTAGTCATATTTGTTGTCGCGCTTAAATTTTTATATTTTGATAGATTTGGTTTCATGAGCTTGTAGGGAAGTTGAGCGTTCGCATGGGAGCTGAATCCCTACCACCCATCCTAAGCTTCTACAAGTGTCCGAAAACTTTACGGAAAAATGCAGTGCAGAATTTAGTTAAAGACCTAGCTAATTTTAGGAAGTGTGATAATAACTCTACCGATAAAGCTCAACATCATCAAATTCTTGACCAACACTTCTAACTGCATTGTGCAATGCAAGAGAAATCATACTAGAACTCACAACTTCCCGAGACATGCTTTGTGAAGACGAAGAATTTTGTGAATAAGAAGCATATTCTTCAATATAGGGGATGTACGTATTTCTATATAGAAAATTGTTTAAGAGTTAAAGAAATTGAGAACCTTAGAACTGAGGGGGAAAAGTATATCAAAATTGTAAGTTATCTTATATGGACAGTATTAGATTGTTGCCCAAACAATACCTCTCGATTCAGCTCAACGTTCATAATAACTACATTCTCCTTGCAACTTCGATGTATATTGAACATTATCAACATATCATCATCATCATCACATACACACACATAAATTTCTTGTGTGTGTGGGACTTTGTAAGTCAAGTGCATCATGTTTGTACTACAAGCAATTAGACTTTGCACGGCAACCACCAAATTATTGTAATTCCCATTGATATTTAATTTTAAAAAATATTTATTTCCTCTAAAATCCATCAATGCACAATACAATTCTTCATCTATCTATGTTTGTCACAAAAAATAAACAAAAAATATAGAAAATTTCATCAAAGATAGACAACTAAATTAAATTTAACTAACAATTAAATGTGAAATAATTTTTATGAATTCATGAATAATAATGTGAAATAATTTTCATACATAAATGAGAAATTAATGCTATAGACTAAATCGTTGAGTAAAATATAAAATTATACCTTAAATTGTTAAGAAAGTAATGAATCTCCACCAAAGTCAAGCAACCACACCCTACGCATTAATGACATTGAGAAATAATTGATGGATTTATAAGAGTGATTGAGAATTAATTGATGGGTCTATAGAAGTGGAAGAATGAAATAAAGAGAATAATGGATGAGAGAGGGAGTTAAAAAGAGGGGGGGGGATTAATTGAGAAATGGGAAGAGACAGAGAGAGAGACGGGGGTTGTTCCCACCATTTTCATTCTCTCCAATGCATAAATCGCATTTAATGAGATTAGTTGTATTGTGATTTAAACCCACCAGAACAACCTCTCCTGCTCCTATTTAGAGCCCGTTTGGATAATGGAAGTATTGGAAGTAAGAAGTATGTTATGGAAGTAACTTTCAAAAATATGAAGTAGAAAGTAGTGGAAATAACATTTTTTGTTTATTTCATATATTTTTAGAAGTAATGAAAGTAGAACTTCTTCCTCGTCATTTACTTCTTTCGTTTGGATAATATTGGAAATATTACTAGGAAGTAATTAATACATGTTGCTATCATAATTTCAAAGCCATGCCGCGCTCTTTAATTTGATCTAGTACGTTACAACTAGTTTCATGCCGCTATGACCGCTTGCCACTTGAGAACAAGAGAATCATTCAACCACATAGTTTCAAAATAATTGTTTACCTCTCGCCTATGACAAGACACCAGATGACCATACATTCCTATGAATCTCCAATTTCCCTCCTCCCTCGCTCCTTTGATCGTAACATCAACGTGGTATTTAGACAAAGAATTAATACACAATCTGTCCTCTTCATCCCAAAGAAAAACTGGCTGATGACCATCATAAATTACTACAAAATAATTGTTAAAATTAAGAGCAATTTTATCAATAAAAAATTATTAGAAGTAACTAATAAAGGAAATATTAATAATTTTTTGTTTATTTCCTAATTAATATGCATTTCAACTACTTCCGAGCTACTTCTGAGTATTGAGAATTGAAAAAAGTATTTTGGAAATAAGGATGACACGTAGGCGTTACATAAGCGTTTAAGGAAGTATTGGATGTAAGTTTTTCAGAGAACCAAACACATTTTTTGCTTGGAAGTAGCAGAAGTAGCCTCTATTTTTTTACTTCATAATTACTTCCGTTCAAACAAACATGCTCTTAATTTGGTTTCTCAAAATTAAATAAGGGACCCACATATGAGACAACAAAGAAATAGAGGGAGGTTGGGAAATGATAGAATAGGTTTTTTTTTCTCTTAAATTAAGGGGCCCCATATATATATGTATTGTATTTTGAAAGTTAGGTCAAGAGATAACTACAAAAAGCTGATTGGGTTTAAAGATACAAGTAAAAAAAATGAGTTTAAAGATAAATGAGGGTAAACAATTGGGCTTAGAAACAAAAATCCCTATGATTTTACCTAGAATACCACCTCTATGACTTTACATTGCACACTACACTATAACGAACATGACCTGAACAAATCGAATCAATTGAATATTGAGTTTGTTATTGTTTGTATTCGTTTAAAATTTTGGACTATAGGTATCAAACGCCCATGTGTGGATAAGAAGCACCCCTCCAAACTCATAGCCTTGTGTATTTCAAAAAATAACCTGAGATGTTGAAGTACTATTCTTAGCAGTTTACTAACTCGGCTAGACCTTCTTGGATGAACATGACCATATTTTGAATATCCACGCATATGCATCAAATGTTAAACTTTACAGTTTATTTGGTTAATGTTACCGTGTATGAGTATTTAATTATCTAATTAAGAAGACATTTTATTTGATAATTTATAGTTTCCCTCTTCTAAATAATTGGGTTCTTAAAAAGCATCCAAATTTATGATCAAAAATTATTTCTTTTATAATTATGACGCATAAAATATTGTTTTGAGTTTTTGGTTAAAACCCAATTTGAAACTGTTTATGTCTACAAAATTAACAGTCAGATTTTAGCAGAGATATAAGCGTGATCAAAAACAAAAATTACATGCGTAATAATACTACTTATAAGTGTTCAAATTTTAAATAAGTAAATAAATTGAAAATATATCTAGTTAAAATCTATTCTCTTATGAATCAAGCACTAATATTATTTATATAACTGTTAAAAGTGAACTACGAAATCTAATATAATAGAATAGTTAAACAAATAGCTATTACATTGGTTTTTTTTTTCATGTTAGACACCAAATTCTTTCATTTGCTCTTTAAATCTTCATATTTCTAATTTAAATCTCCAAATCTATTAGGCTATTCTTTTCCATGTTTGACGAAGTTCTTTCTCAAGTTTTTATTAAACCCAAGAATCCTTCTCAAACTTATATTAGTTTGCAAAACTTCAAATTCAAAATAACATTCTCAGATTTGTTAATTCCAAAAAGTTCATCATACTAAGCTCGCAACAGAGGATGTTATCTGCAACGACTAAAACATTCCAGGGGCGAAAACTAAAAAAATGAAGATTTGAGAGCTAATTTACAAATAAGTAAGAAGTTAGGGTGTTATGGACGAAAAACCAAGGACAAATTTTCTTTTCGGACATATTTAGAAACATATTTTGAAAAATCAACTTATTTTGAAAATATTCATCAATTTTGACCCAGTTTTATCCATTTGGCTAAAAAAAATTGGTGAAAAAAGTTTAAAAACTTTACGGGATTTCATATCCCGTGAAGTTTAAGCTACTAATTGACAACGTCGTTAAGGGGGTCAAATCTTCACGGAATTTGAAATCCCGTGAAGCTTAAACTTCATAGGATTTTAAATCCCGTGAAGTTGCAAGCCAAAGATTTCACGAGATTTACTTGCCAAATCTCTAGAGAATGGCCTACAACTTCATAATATTTGAAATCCTGTGAAGATTTGACATTCTTAACGACATTGTTAATAAATGATTTAAACTTCGCGGGATTTAAACTTCATGAGATTTCAAATGCTGTGAAGTTTTTGAATAGTTTTTTGCAAATTTTGATCCGGAAGTCAAAATTGACGAATATTTTCAAAATAGATCTATTTTTAAAAATATGTTTCTAAAAAGGTCTAAAACTAAAATTTGTCCAAAAACCAAATATTTCGATACGACACCTACCGGGCCCTCACCCAAAATTACTCAGCAGTTCTTTCCACTCCCAGTTAAAAAATCCAAATAAATCAAAGTTCCCTTCTTTGAAAAGTACCATACTTTTATTCAATTATAATTATTTTCTTCCTAGGGTTTCGTCACGAATAAAAAACTAAAATCAAGTCAACGTCTGCTTGATTCGTCACGAATAAAAAACTAAAATCAAGTCAACGTCTGCTTGAATTTGGTCCCCAAATTAATGGAAAATAATAGCGCCCAGGATCACTCAGACGGAGAGATGAGCGTCGAATCGAGGAAATCTCTCGATCAGTCGGCGCAAGTTAGCTGCGGGTATCGCCTCTTCGATCGCCAGCGGACGATTCATCAGATTATCGGCGGGGGTAAAGGTAATTTGGTTCCTGAATTAAAGCTCGAGCTAAGTTTTTATTTATTTTTTAATATTTAGAAATAGATTTCTGAAGTGGGAATTGATTCACTTTATGTTAATGCTTCTTGTTGCTTGCTCTCTAATTTAGGGTTTTTTTTGTGCCTCGTCGATATGCAACAATCAAGAAGTTTAATTGATGATTGACACCACAATTTGAACAGTTGGAACTTTGGATAATAATTCACTTGGATTGTAATCCGCAAATGTATTATAAATCTAGTGGATTTTAATCTAGAGTTGTTTGGTAAATTTGGTGCGTTATAATCCATTTTCAAGAGCTGAGTGTTTGTCAAATCGGTGGATTATAATACATCATTGTTGCCAAAAAAAACATGGGGCAGTGGTGGTGAGTCATTAAACGAGGCTGGATTTTGTGAAATCATTAGGGGGTAGAATGGTCTTTTATTTAGTCAATTTTAATGGCTTGCTGCCATCAAAAGAGTAAGCCACTGTACCCTAGCTTTTTTTTTTGGCTTATAAGCAAACTAGTGTGCACCTCGTGCAAATCACAGCCTCCATTTTTTTTAATTTCCGCTACAATAATTCTGTATTTTAATACAGTTTTGTAAGTGTTACAGTAACATTTTTAAATGCTCCAGCACCCCGCCTGACCTACAGTACTAATGATACAATAATGTTTTTAAATGCCACAGTTCCCGCTTGTGCTACTGTGATACTTCTACAGTAATTTATTGTAGCATGAATAACGAACCTTGGATGCTCTGCTTTTACTACAGTAACAATACTACAGTGATTTACTATAGTATTTACTGTAGCATAATAGTTAATCTTGGATCCTCCCATTATTATAGAGGAATAGATATAAGCCCATTTATGTTAGGTAGAGATGTCACACGAGAATCACGCGATGGTAAATTATCTTTTTTTTCCCTCTGGTTAACTGAGTTTAAAACTAAATTGACGTCTACCTGATGGTAAAGAGTAATTATGGTCACATTTGATGTTTATGTGACACATCAAACTAATAGATAAGTAACAAATACCATCTGGGGTTCAAGGGTGTAAGTGGTAGTAAAATGGTTTGGGGGTATAAGTTGGTCAACGCTTATTATTATTTTAGTGGGAGAAGGACATCAAACTTGTGCTTTGTATAGATCAAATATTGTTTTGCTAATTGAACTTGTAGTATGAAAGTATTAGAGGGAAATTACAAGTCATAGCGGGTCCTTTTCTCGTGAAGTTAGAAAGAACCGGTCGAATATGTTCAATTATCTATGTTGTTTTACAGTTAGATGCATTTGAGAATTATAATATCAAGAACTTCTCAAAGACATTGTGGTTGTTTCTCAATCATTTCTAGTAATACTATACAAGGAAATATTAGTCACTTTCATCTGTATGTTGAAGATTATATTTTATTATTTTAGTGTAAGAAGGACATCAAACTTATAGCTTGTGTAAATCAAGCAGAAGTTGTAGCATGAAGTAATCAAACGAATTTTAGAAGGCTTGAGGATCTTTTTTTGGTCAAATTAGGAAGCATGAATAAAATGCGCTTAGTTTGAATGAGCTTACTGATATATACAGGCACTCTTTTTTCTTAAGTCTACTGCATAATGCATTATGCTAGTGTTTCCTTTCTTCACTCTCTGAATTAATAGTTTAGGCCATAATAATTCATCATCTCAGTTTGACAGGGGTTTGTTGATGTATCAGCAATTCGCAGAACTCTTTAGTACATCTCAGTTACCTTTATTTAACAGCTTTTGGCATATATGGTGGGAAATAGTTCATTTTTAAAATTTTATCGGGTCAAGAGAAAAGGTCGTGTAAGATTTCAGCAATTGCTAACATCATCAGATTATCATACTCGGTGTCAGAGCCACTTTCATTATTCCATAAACCCGAAAAAAATTTGTGCTTATTCTTTTCTGACTTTTTTCCTAACAGTTTTAAGGTGCACAAGAAAAAGTTTTCATCTGCCATCGGCACGTGGAAACATACCAGTCTTTTGGTTCATTCCTGAGATTATGTCCTTTGGCGATGTGTTTTGTTATTGGGACCTGAACATAACTTGTAGGCAAAATCTTACAGTCTAAAATGCTTCAAATTTGCATCGCTGAGCTCTTCTGAGATATCATCAGGACATGTTTGTAACCTTTTGATGTCACGCTGAATATTGATTTCATAGGCAGTAAACTTTCTGTAGTCTAGGCAGCATCTGATTAAGACCATTGTGGGACCCATATATTTTTCAGCCATTGAATATTTGGTTGGGCAAGTCAATCTGCAAAGCTGTCTGAAATAATCTACGAATATTACTGCATATGCTTGTAATTAAAAATTATTTCAGTGGGAATGTTATCTTTAATTCTTTGCCAAGGCATGTCAAGCCAAATCCTTCCATAGCACTTAATGTTTGATCTTCAGAATATTTTTACCGAGTGTGTCACACCTAATTTAGCCTTCCGGCAGATCTTTCTCTTCTTAGTTTATTTTCCATACGGTATTCCAAATTTGCGCCAATTATAGTCATATATTTTTATCTGGTACTCTATCAACAACAGCAAGGAATTTTGTTTTTATCTTGTATTGCTGTTGGGTACTTTATTAATCACTTACATGTATTTTATTGCAAACAGCTGCTGATGTCATCTTGTGGAAACAGCATCAAATTTCATTTGGAGTTATCATAGTTGCTACTGTTGCATGGCTTCTGTTTGAGTATTCTGGACTATCATTCCTGACAATCTCCTCAGACATTCTGCTTATTCTAATTGTAATTCAGTTCATTCGGGCAAACAGTGCTGTTATGCTGAATAAGTAAGTCAAAATTCTGTATTCTTTCATTTTCCCTATGTTGTGGATTACCTCTGACTTTTTTCTTCCCAAAGGCAACTTAAACCATTACCGGAGTTAGTTTTATCAGAGGAAATGGTTAACAATGCTGCTGCTTCCTTTCGTGGTAAAATGAACAACATGTTGCTCATGGCACATGATATCACTCTTGGCAAGGACTTCAGGCTATTTTTTCAGGTCAGAAATGGTTAAACTCTTGCCTAAAGAACTGTGGCAATTTTTTATTCTCATTGGCTGGTTTTATGAGTATTCTAACAGGCTATTTGTTTTTCTGAATAGGTGGTGGCCTTTCTTTGGCTTTTATCTGTGATTGGAAGTTTCTTCTCATTCTTCACTCTAGCATATGTTGGTATGATCCTTGACCTTGCCCCCGTTCTGTTAAAAGCACACATTTTGTTTCAGTTGTCACTGTCATCTCACCATATTCATTAGCATAATATTAATACATCTGGTTCCCCTCTTCCACTACTTGGAAAAAAGGAATATACACCAATTTTCTCAATTAAACTTTAGTTTTTCAACGACTCCTGTAATAACAACCGTTTATTATGTCTTAATTTTCTATGTTTATTGATCAGATTTATTTATTTATTTTATATTATTTTTTCATTTTCTCTAACAGCTCTAGTTATGATTTCTTCATACTCTAAGTGATATATCCTTTATTATTTGCACCAGCACTAAAAGAATAAAAAAATAACAGGGTATTCTCTAAACCTTACTCCATGACTTTTGGTTGTGTTGCATCTGTTATCCTGTAAATTTCATAACAACATATATTAACAATGCAATGATATAACATGTGTGTTATGTGATTACAACCTCCTAAATAAAAGTGTATTTTCTGGACTTTGAATGCATTTTATGGAGTAGTATTATGCAAATTTGTTATAGAGTCTTAATTGAGAGATTGTTAATCACTCCAGTCATTTCAAAATGTTGTTTATATGGCTGAGGTCATATTGTTCACATCTGTTATTATCCTCATTTGGGGATGATTTGCAGGGACTATCATATCGATTACACTTCCTGCAGTATATAATAAATATGAAGCGCATGTAGATCGTTGTGCTGGATTGGTCCACCAGAAGCTTTCCAAACACTACAGGATAGTGGATGAAAATGTTATTCGAAGACTGCCAAGACGCTTTTCTAAGGAAAAAGATTCATAATTCTTCTCATAAAGGTTACAAGAATTTCATTTTGTTACATATTAAATTCATCGAGCATACTTTTTTAGAATTGTATGTACTGTTTTCCTTTATTGCTTGTGCTCTCTTTGTACAGAAGTAGTACAATGGATATGGAACACACAATGACAACAACAATGTTTCACAAATTTTTGTTGGCAATATTTTGACCACATCCACTCATTTTTCACTTCTTTTGTAGTTGTATTATTTTGTCAATATCTTCGTGATCTTTTTTCACACATAATCCTCTATGCTGGAATTTGGTATATGTGACACCCTGATATTTAGTAGTTACTTTCCAGTTTCACATCTTATTCTGAGGATTGCTGACTTGTTGACACCTTGATAATGAATTATTTCCAGTTTCGTGCACCCTATTCTGCGAAATGGAATTCTCAACTTGAATTGGCTTTAGTTAAACTCATGATGTTCATGTGATTTATAATTTCCTTAATCATCACACTGCAGCTCAAAATCTTAATCTAAGGTCCCACAGCAATTTTGAAGTTTCTGGATCATAAAGAGTTCTTTTGTTTAGTGCAAAATTGATTATTGGTCTCATTTGCCATTATCCTGCGTTCCTTCTGTTATGAGCTGCGGCATCTTTTCATAAGACTCCCCGTCTCTATCTCAACTCAATGATGAAAGGGGTAAACTAGATTTGAATGATTTAGATCTGGGAAATTGGGTTCAGAATTCTGACATGGACTTTGAAGAGACAGGAGAAAAGGGAGATT